GATATTTCTTTGGTGACATTGTACAGTGGAATCCGCTTAACCCGCGCCCCGTAGGGGGGGGGCGAAACGGCCCCCACCCCTGTCCTTTTCCGTCGATATCTCCTAAACGGCTGGAGATATCGCCACCAAACCTTCATGACCCCTTCGGGCATCAATTTTACACATTGTGACCAAATTTTTTTCCAGAGGCTATGATAGGTTGGCCACAAATGACGTCAGAATGACGTCATGTTCTGTCATTTTCGACTGAAAAAAGACCTTCGCGAGAAGACCTGTCAGGCCTACAGCTTCAAAGATCCAGAAAAGTGAACAAGACATATAAGGTGTAGAATTGACAGGGCTACAAAACTGCTATCTCGGATTTTTGAAATTTTTGAGTTTTGACCCCCAAAAATCAAAAAAACATTTTTTGGATATAATAGCCAAAAATCCAAAAAGTTTGAGTTTCGAAAAAAGGAATATATGTGATAGTACCTACCGTCTTCTATCTACAGACCAAATTTCAGATCGATACCTATTTATTAGAAACAAACATTTACCAACATACAGGTTACAACGGATACAATATAATGCACAGATACCTAACGCTAAGGCTCAGCTAAACACGATATAGCAGAGCACTGGGTCACACCGCGCACCAGGTAGGGAGCCAGTGGTAGATCGATACCTTGTTTATTGGCCAAATTATAGCGAAAAAAACTTCAAAAATGATGACGTCAAATTTTCAAACTCAATTTTTTTTTTTGCAATTCTACACCTTGTACAGCAAAACAAAGACCACCATTAGACTCCCCGTGACGAGCTGCATCGAATCGATACCCATTTTATGCAAAAATATCAACTTTGAAATTTGACCTAATTTGACCTGACCTTGACCTGACCTTCACCAAAACGTGACCTAGGCTGGCCCCAAAGGCTGCCTAACCCACATAATCGCATTTGTCATGTAAAATGGACCATAAAACATGCATCACACGACACTTTCATATTGTGACCCCCGGTGACCTGACCTGGTATCAGTGACCTCAGATAGCAAAGTATGTGTTTGACGAACAATGTACCATCAATGGTTTTCAATAAATTACCAATTTACTCGATTTCACAACACATTTCTTGAAATGCCTGTGAACGGTGAAAATCCGACCTTTGACCTGACCTGTGACGCCATCGGTTTGATGATGATGATGATTTGGTGTTTAAGGGCGCACCAGCAACGAGGCTATATCGCGCCAATATCTAAACTTTCGTTCTCAAAGTCGGGGGTTAAAAATCACCTGAAGCCCAGAGGCCGTGATGAACGAAAAAAGGCGAGAGGAGTCTAGCAAAGGGGAGTCGTCATCGAGGAGAGTCCTCAAAGAGAGCTGGGAGCCACGCAGGCCCAGAAACCGCAATAGCTCAACGTTCAGTCTCGGACAATCAACCAAGACGTGTCGCACCGAAAGACGGTCGCCGCATCTCGCACAAATAGGCCTGGAGCCAACGCCGATAAGGTACCCATGTGTCCCGTAAGTATGTCCGGTACGAAGCCGGCAGAGGATAACCTCCTCTCGCCGCACCCTACGTGAAGCAGACTGCCAGGTTGCCAAATCTGGTTTGATGCGTAAGAGCTTATTTCCATGGGAATGACTCCAGGCCTCCTGCCACTTTCCACGGAAGAAAGCGCTCACCGCCGGTTAAAAAAAAAAAATCCCTGGCGGGTAGAGGAAACCGGCGGGAGCAGGGCTGTTGTGCCGCACGGTTCGCAGCTCGGTCCGCCCGCTCATTACCAGCAACACCAACATGACTAGGGACCCAGCAAAAAGTGACTGATGTTCCCTCTCGGTCGAGGGCTGTCAGACCGAGAAGAATCTCCTGTACGAGGGGGTCGGTCGGATAGAATTGTGTCAAGGTCTGGAGACCACTCAATGAGTCAGAGAGGATAAGATATGAAGGAGCGGGGTGAATCGCGATAAAACATAGGAGTTTGAGAATGGCGACCATTTCGCAGGTAAAAACGGATGCTTGTTTAGGTAAACTGAAAACCCACACAGCGTCGCCACACACGAAGGCAGAGCCAGCACCGGAGTCGGACTTAGACTCGTCGGTGTAGGCTAAGGTGTGGCCTGAATATGATTCAATATGTTCCAATGCCTTCGCCTTGAAAACCAGAGGAAGAACTTCGTTCTTACGTGTGCCCGACAGGGTAAGATCCACAGAGGGAGCAGCAAACCTCCAAGGAGGTTCAGACAGGACATCAACTTGCTTGATGTCCCGAGAGCCGATGCCGCATTCTCGAAAGTGATCGGCCATCCGGGCACAGAAAACTCGAGAGCGACTCCTCTCATCGCCATCAAAATGAGCTAAAACTGACCTGGAGAAGACCGCTCCGTGAGCAGGATGGGAGGGGAACTGACGAAGTTTGACTGCGTATCGCATGCCCAGCATCTGTCTTCGTAAGGCCAGAGGGGGCTCGTGCACCTCATCCAACAAGCTGACAACAGGGGTGGTTCGGAAGGCACCGGTCGCAATGCGAATCGCCGCGTGATGGACGGTGTCAAGACTGAGCTTGGATGAGGATGCAGCGTTGTCATAAATAAAACACCCGTAGTCCAGACGGGACCGCACCAAAGGCCGATACAAAAGGAGCAGGGTGGTACGGTCAGCGCCATAAGACGTGCGAGCAGCACACTTCAGGAGGTCAAGAGCTTTAAAACACTTATCACGGAG